AAGTACTTGAATTCATTCAGGGCAGAAACATGTCTTTCACTCTCCTCACTTGATTTAAAGGTTTTCAGGTTGTTAAACAGCCTGCTGTCCTCCATGTGATTAAAAACTACAGCTGCAATGATTCGAGCAGGTCCGATATTCAGCTGAAGACACTGGCTCTAAAATTTTATCCATTGATAACATAAAAAAAAAAAATTGTTATAAAACAAAAATCTGTTCCATTTTGTAAGATGCAAATCTCTAAGTTTTACTTTCCTGCCTGAATATAGTCTCAGTTCCTTCTTATGTCAACTCTAGGAAAAACGGTCAAAGTGTTTGTCATATGCACAGTGTTGGGTAAAATTATTAAAGTTATACTTTAAGGTTGATTCTAACATTTGATTGAATTAAGAACCTAATTAGTAGAAGATTGACACTGTTTGTTGATTAGTCAACCTGTGTGTTTACTTTGTTTGCGTATGATTTTATTATAGTAAGAAAATGAACAGTCAAGATTTATTTTATAGTATACATAAGTCTATATACTTATACTTATATACATGTCACCCTATGCGTTCACTGAATCACTGGTCAGTATTTACTGTATTAGTCAACTGGAGCACTGTTTAACATCAAGGGGGGCTGGTTCACTAAAACACTGAATTTCATTAGGTTTACAGCTTTGACAAGGAGGGTCCACAGATAATTTATTACCACCTGGCTGAAGAGGCCAGGTAATTTGGGGTCACTGGGACACCAAGGGTAATAAACAGAGATTAGACCTAAAAGCCAGGAAGAGGAGACAACTTCAAGGCAGGACCATATACAGACACACACAGGCAAGACAGTTTAATTAGCCAAACGGGAAGCCATGCCTCATATAGTGTAGTTGGTAACAAAGAAAGAAGTGAGTGTAGGAATTTAGACAGAGTAGAATTTCCTCCCTCTTTAGGAAGCTGCCTTTCCCATTGGAACAGAAAGGACACAGGAGGATAGATGGACCAATGGAACAGCACGAGAGGACCAGACCAGCCTACAATGGCATATTTGAAATTGTATAAAATCAACTGAATTGAGGAGGACAGTGTTCCACTGCTCTGAAGGCAGATTGAACGGTGTTGTTTGGTAGGGCTTCAGATAAATGGAACCCAGAGCAATGTAAATTGCTTTGTTAACAAGAGTTATTGATCCTTGCTGTAAAGTTCACAAGCTGCCCAGCAGTAATTTACATTATAAGTATATAGGCTAGTTAAACTAGCCCCCTCTTTACCAGCTGCAACATTAAATGTGATGTACACAGTAATGCAACTAGATTTATAACTGAATAATATGATGTACATCAATTTAAACTGTGCTATTTTGCATAATCAGCACTTTTGGTACTGTAACTGTATTTTCTTCTAATACTTTTGTACCTCTATATATAAGTAACATTTTGAATGCAAGACTTTTACTTGTACACTTGTACCAGTATTTTTACACTGTGGTATTGCTACTCTTACTTAACTAAACAATCAGAATACTTCTTCCACCACTGCTCACTAGTTTAATTACATCTTTGTTTCTCATGACGAAGCTCCTGTTTCATGTGCATCTGGGCCCTTTGTTACCAAACCAAAACAAAGTATCGGAAATGCACAGAATATTGAGAATATTTGTCCACACTCTGAAATAGAGGGAAACAAGGTGCTGGGTGAGAAAGGGGGCGTCTGAACCACAGATCTTTGAGTTGATAATGATACTGGGCATGTTTCAGGTTTGCTGCCATTTGATGTCATTTGTTTGCAGTAAACTTGCAGTATGTGTTTGCTTTGCTGTTTTAAGTATGTTTAAGTCTGGGTTCTGTGTGTGGGTAAAGAAAGCAGGCTGTTCCTGGCTCCTGGCTTTTTGAAATCCTCCTTCATTTCAAGGTTAGAAAGCAAACATTTCAGTCTGGCTCTCTCACTGTTCAGAGGAGTCACTCCAGTGTGACTTATTAAAACCAGGCTGCTGCAGGTCGGCTTTATAATGATGTCAATCAGCACCACCTTCACCTCTGTTTCCCATGGGTCAGTGCGTTTACAGGCAACACAAATTACCTCAATACCAAGCTCGTCAGATGGGACCGTGCCGGGGCCTACGGGTGTCCATGCTGCCTGTGTTGGTGTTTCATTTGCTGCCCAGACAGCAGGACAGTGCAGTTTGCAGTCATTTAGCTCAGTTCTGCTCAATAAGATTCAGTTCATATTAAATCAAATGGAAGTTTCTTTGCTATTGCCTTAAGGACTTTCTGTTGTGCTATTTCAAATGATCGTAAACAGACTTTATGTTGGGTTTGTTTGGTCAGCCTCCCTGCCTGTTGCCTCCAGTCTCCGCCTGTCTCTGTCTGTTGATACAGAAGGTCTTTCAATTGGCCTCAGAAGGTTCTGACACACCATCAGGCACATCAGGAAGAGCAAGTTCACTCTTCCAGATCTTGTACCAGGTTGTGGGCTGGAGGAGGAGGAATGAAGGGTGAGCCTGACTGGGCAGTAAAAAGAACACTGAGGAACTCCTGAACCCAACCAACACGCCCTTGGGGGAGCATTCACCAAAACATTCACCAATATTGATTACAAAGGTTTTTGAGGTCTTTAAATGCCATGAGTGGATGAGATTCATCTGACAGTTCTAGAAATTGTTAGGGTGTATGGTCTGACACACCTCTTCAATATTGCACTGAGGTCAAGGACAGTGTATGTAGTCTTGTAAATCAGTGTGATGTTTCATCTTCAAAATGGGTGACCAAATAGTGTGCACCATTTATTGGGGTATCATGGTGCTCAGTCTAGCTGGGAAAGCTTAAGAAGCAAAATAAGGCTCTGACTGACGTTCAGATGTCGGATCAAGGAGAACTATTGTAGATTCCATCTTGGCCATAGAACAGCAGACCAAATTTTTATACTTGCAAGGCTACCATGCTAGTACTCAGGTACCGGGGCCATGGCTACAGACATCTGGAGGTAGTATAATTGTTGCTTTTTTCCCCATCAAAAGGAGCCAGCTGAGGTGGTCTGAGCATCTACTTAGGATGACTTATAGATGCCTTCCATTGAAGGTTTTCTAGGCATGTTCAACCGTTAGGATTAATTTCAGTATATTCCCATCTCCATGTTTCATGTTTGGCACTATGCAGTCATTATAGAAATCCTGGCCAGGTCAATGCCAAACATACAGCACTCCATCTGATCTAAACTAAATTATTTGGTTTCAACTGGCCAAAAAATGTGCACCAATATTCATAACATTTCTTTTCATGTAAAAAAAAAAATCACAGTTCTATGCCATTTACTGATTGTTTTCTTCTTACATGCTGTCTTTAGAGGTCGTCTTCATGCAATGTCCTTTGCGCTGTCACAGTCACTGAAACATCAATTTTCACAGAAAGTGACATTTTCAAAAAATTTGCCCTTAGTTAAGATTAGATCCTTGTAAACATAAGTTATTCACAAAGCATCTTAGTCCCCAAGAGAACTCCTAGGGTGAAAAGTGTTAAGAGCATGAAGGAGGACTTTTAAGACTTAAGAGTTTCTTAAGAAGAGAATAAATGATGGAAAGTCAGAGGTAGAATAAATATTCTCCCAACACTGAACAACAGTGAGTTAAACAAGCACTACAGATTAGATCGTACAGTGATAATGTCTGTGGTTGCTCTCAACAGAAATGTGCTCACATCTCCCACCCAGTGCAATAATGCCCTAACACCAGAAATGAAAGTGATCACAACATTAAGCTATTTGGCAACTGAAAAAAGAAACAGTGCAGCAGTGATTACATGTTACTTTTGCAAGTTCCCATCAGCAGAGTAATCACACAAACCGTTACAGACCTTTCTATTGTACCTTGCAGGCTCATAGACAGAGCCAGCATCAATTTACCACAGAAACATGAAGACATTTTGGAGCCATTTTCCCCCCATTAATACCAAATTGATTAAGCAAAAAAGTATTAAAATTACCAGTATGGTACACTTAGGCAATTAAATATAAAAACTATGAGCAGAGTAATCATGCTGACCTCCAACAGAGCTGAATCATCAAGATATGACTGGTTGAAGTGTTGCGCCAACAGAGTATCCTTACATTCAGCAGCACTCACTTATTATATTTGAAAATGGAGTCTATCACTTGGTTTTCTAATGGGGATCTAAAATAATGGCTAGGAACAAGGGCTCCATGTTGCAAGCTAGTACCCCCACACCGATACTGTCAGTTATGTATCACTTCTCTGCAGCTTGCACCACCACAATATGATCTATATGCCTACCAATGGGGGATGGGTAACACATAGACTTTAAATAAGGTTTAATACAACTCTCGGCTGGCCTGGGAACGCCTTGGCATCCCCCCGGAGGAGCTGGGGGGAGGGGCCGTCATTTTTAACGTGGATTTGGATTCACAAACACCGACTGCAGATCAACCCTGGCTGCATCTTGTAGGTATCTTGGAGATGATGCGTCCTGATGTGCAGCAACATTGTTTGACCAAGTTTATATCTATAGCCATATACTGAGAACTAGTTTATCTTATTTAAAAAATAATGTTCGTGATAATAAATGACAATAAATTATTAGGAGTGAATTCCAGCGGTAGATTTAATTTTAAGTTGGTGTGACCATTAAAATATATTTGGAGACCTGAGCTCATGCTTCCCAACCAAGGCGCTTATATTAAAAATGTAACTGTAACTATATATAAGAATATAATAGAGAATGTATGACAAATGGGAGCAGCATGTGCAGCAGTCAACAGTCAATGTGCAATTATGCACGTGCAAACTGAGAATGTAAACAGTACAGGTTGACAGTACATGACATATTTCCTGGTAGTAAACTCCTCAGCTGTTTAGGAGTCTGATGACAGAGGGAAAGAAAGAGTTTTTCAGTCTAGAGGTCCTGCACTTCACACTTCTGAACCTCCGGCCAGAGGGTAGGGAGGTGAACAGTCCGTGCTGGGGGTGGGTGGGATCTTTGAGGATGGAGGCAGCTTTCCTATGCACCCTGTGGTGGTCAATGCTCTGCAGAGAGGGCAGTGGATATACGTTGTCTGTTTTTGCATTTTATGGCAGTTTGATCAGCTCTGAAAGCAGCTGTAGGTAGAGGTAAAGTGGACAACACAACCAGTGGCTGTGAGCTCTGGTGGACCACAGTCAGTTTCACCGAGGGAGGGTGGGGGGCTTGGTGGCGGGACAACGATTCTGATTGGATAACCTTTCACCTAGAACTGTCAAATCGAGTATGATGAAAGCTGGTATCTATAATGTGTGTGGGATTGCCATACACCCACTTTAAAGGTTTTGTATTTTATGATATACAGGTCAAAGGGAACTGGAGAGTCATCACAGATCTTGACCTACAGTACATGAGGTACTGCATTTAGTTGATGGAGATCGGTGGATGTTAAACTACGGAAAACATTTTGGGCCTGTTCTTATTTCCTCTTTTCTTTTTTCCATCTGGCTGCTAACTAAACTAAATATATTAGAATATCAAAAATAAAACATTTCCCTA